CTGGTGCAAATTACTGACCTCTGTCATCATTTTAAGTGGGGGAACTTGCACAATCGGTGGCTGACTAAATACTTTTTTGCCCCACTGTATACCACCTTTCCATTTTGATCCAGAGAGTTAAGTTACAGACATGCGTTGCGAGGGATCATCTATTTTAGCTTTGCCCCATAAAAGCACTGGTAGCAAGTCCCACTCTATGATCAAGCACTTGCTGTAGTGCTGCTCACATCTTATTTCACTGCTGGCCGTTTGCGGTGTAAATAGCGGGGACATGTTAGGTCTCTGTGGCAAAGGAAGAGAGAGCAGGTGGGAGAGAGAAAGTGTGGGTTGAGTGTACAGAGCAGCAAAAGCAACAGGAAGTAATTTTTTAACACCGCCTCGTTTGCAGCCTCACAAAGATACAGATACATCAACAGCAGCAACATTTTAAGAATCCACTTTGCTGCACTTGATCCTAAAGAAGATTAAACTGCTACTGTTTGTGGAACTCATGACTGATCCTTTGAGAAGCTGTGCGGTTGCTCTATTTGAATTTTGAATATTTATCAAATGTAAAATATTTACACAACATGTTCGCTCAGTGTGTTTTCAACGGCTTTGCTGCCAGCTGCAACTTCTGAAAGTTTTGCACTTTTTCGCAGATTGAGCTTTATGAGAAAATTTGCTTGGTTTCCTATTAGTGTGACAGTGGCATCATTATTATTTTCTTATAGATAAGTTTTTTTTTTTGTTTGTTTGTTTTTGGTAAAACAAAAACATGGCAACAAATGTAAATGGAAGCCACCATGTTGGCAATTTTTAAACAGCATCTAGGCCTCTTAAGTCAAAGCACTTCCACAAAAGTAGGACAGATTTTCTTAAAAAGTGAATTATTAAAATCTGTGGCACCAAGGCAGTCCTGAGTTTTGAAATCTCTGCTTAAAAGTTCCAACACTGCATCCTATCAGTTCATCCCAACCCCAAATTTCTCAATCTACAGAACCTCCCCCCCAGACTCGCCATGAAGGGAATACTGAAACATGCAACATTTTCACAGCCTGAGTAGTACATCAGCAGTATTTTAACAGTATTAATATGTAGTTGGGTCCTGCTGGACATTGAAATAAACACTAGTCAAGGGTATTCAGTTAATATTGGCCTTTTTTGTTTTCTTTTTTAATCTATGCATCTTTTTGTTTTTTTTGCTTACCAATCATCTTTACTCTTATTTGTACCCTCAGAGCTGCGGCCCTCTGAGCACCTCCAGGTAGAGAGCGCCATCTGGCTGCCACTCAACGTGGTCTCTAATGGCAGTGCCTCCAGCAGCTCTCAGGCTGTTGGCGTGACTAAGATTGCCAAGTCGGTCATTGCACCCCTTGCCCAGCAGCATGTCTCTGTTTTCATGCTCTCCACTTATCAGACTGACTTTATCCTGGTAAGCACCATCTATTTAAATCTGCAAACATTTTTTTATCCATTTTTATTCTGCTTGATTATACTCCAGTCTTATTAGCTTCCACATCTTGTTTAATTAGCCACTCTAAACTATTCACGGTTGTATAATTTGGATCAATTTTTTATATTCTAAATGCAATTTTAAATGCATTTTTTTTAAAAAGTCACCCTGCAATTATGCACTGAAACCTTTTGCTACTACTGAGTTTTGCCAGATAAAAGAAGCCTGTGTTTGCATTTTGTCCATTCACCAATTCGGCAGTTAAGGAATTAATCCTCAACAGTGCTGAGGACACTAAAAAGTTACATATTAGATGTGAAAAGTGTGAAGTGGGCACAAATACGTAACACCTTGACAGATGTTTGTGTCAGCAAGTATTTTAATGTCTCACATGCTGCTTGAGCTCAGGTATTTCCTTAAAGGTGAGCGAGTGTAGTATCCCGAAACAGCAGGAGATTATAGACATAAATGAAATGCTTATGGAGGAGGTGTTGCATATGTTTAATCAATAAGCTGTCTTACTAGTGATGTTTATTTTCAACAATTTCTTTGTTGTGTAGGTGAAAGAGAAAGACCTGTCTGTGGTCGTCAGCACACTAGAGGAGGAGTTCAACATCTATAAGGAGGAGGGAGGAGAGTCTGTTCCTGTGCATTGTCAGGATGTTTCCAACGGCCTCCACAAGAACGGCAGAGAAGGTACAGGTCACAGGGCTATTTGGTATGGATTTATTCATTGATCCAGTTTGTCTCAGAGGAAGTACGGACATTAAAATGCCAGAGCACCACCTTCACTAAGGCCGGTGTCATCAGGTGACTGTTTTACAGTCCACGTCACAAATCATTAAACGACAACTGAAGAATGATTTTATCTATGGAAAAGTACTTAAAAGCAGTTTTTTTTTCATTCCACAAGCATCTTATTTTAGAAAAGTCTAACACATGCAGTAGTGAGTACACTGCAAATATTGTAGCATCTTCTGCTGTGAGCGGTCTTACATTCTCTCGACTAAGGTCAGACTAACATTTGTGCAACCTTACACAACTCAATTTGAATGTAAGGCAGCCATGTGAGCCCATGCAAAGTCATTATTGATGCATCCGTGTCAGCGCTGGTGTCAGCGCTGGCATCACTGCTGTTCTTTGATATTTTATAACTCGGCAGTGCTGCCACGATGCTGTACTGAAGAAAGAGAAAATGCTACAGAGAGAAGCGAAGTCATGATTAAAAAGACAGCAACCAACTGGGACATACAGCGCTGTGCAAAAGCCTTGACTAACCCTCATTTCCTTATATTTTGCTAGGAAAATGTGAAGTATGTGCAGTGATTTATTAAAACATGCACAGTATTTTAGGCAAAAACAGAGTTTGTACAATATGAATGAGCTAGAAGGTCAATATACACGTAGAAGCTGAAAAGCTACCACATTATTTTTTTTTTACTTTTGTTTTTAACAATAGAGAACAGTAACAGAGTAGATCCATAGATCAACAAAGATCCACTGATAAAAGGATTTTTGTCATAAAAGACAATTTATTGTCTAGAAAAATTAGAAAAACCTGTGTGCAATGCCCATTTGTAGTAGTTCCATTCCAATCCTTCCCATTTTACGGCTAACACTGTGCTTGTTCTTGCAGCCATTCAGCCTACAGTTCACCCGGTTCTGATCCCAAAGAACCAGTTTTGTGTCATGTCCCTGGATCCCGATACACTGCCGTCCATTGCCACTACACTCATCGATGTTCTCTTTTATTCCAGCAGGTGACGTTTTGTTTTTAATCACTTCACTGCAATACCTGTTTTAAAGCACAAGGTGGCAGCAGAAGACCCAAAGTGGAGTTCAGTTCAGGCTTTTTTTGTTTTTGTTTTATTGATGGTAGTATGAATTTATTTCATTTTTTTCTTTGCAGCATTGCTTTGATTGTGTTTAGATTACCATTAAAGTGAAAATTTATAAAGTATTCTTATTAATTTTAGGACACGCTTGAAACGAAAAAACACTTGTAGCATATTTTATACTAAATCTAAGCTGATAAAGACTGCTTTTATTCTGCATACATATTTTTATTTAACATGTTTTCACGTCTAATTATCTTAAAGTAAGACCAACATTTTTATTTATGACTTGCTTTTTTGCTCTGTGCTTGACAACTGTAATAAATGTGTGGCTGACGCAGTTTGTTATTATGGGGTCCTTATTAAAAATTAAGAAAATGCTACTGTTTTTCTGTCTCTAGTGTCACGTTTAATGTGTTTCCTCCTTTTCAGTCCTAAAGAGGACCCCCAGCCAAGTCCAAGCCAGGATTGTGTTAAATTCTTCTCCTTCTCCCTCATCGATGGATACATCTCACTGGTGATGGACACTGAGGCTCAGAGACAGTAAGCAATCTAAATTTCCCTCACTTGATTTTAATTTACTTCATGGTTCTTTGCTGGCATCTGTGACTTTCTTGCTTACGATTTATGAACAGGTATAACCCCTCAGGTCCTCTGGCACGATTCCAAAGTTCTGAATTAAATCTTTAAGTCATATGTTTTTGCCACTGAACAGTCAGAGGACTTGAGAGCCGAGGTTATTAAAGTTGAATAAAACTAAAGTAAAATCAAAACCATTTTAGCTAGCTAAAATAAAAATACACTTAAGAAAATGTTACAACTAACTAAAATGCTTTTATGAACTTGCCAGACAAAATAAATAGATGGGAATTGACCTTAGTTTTAGTTACTGTCAGTCTGGATAAATCTGCCAACATGGCCTGCCTGAGGAGCCTTTGTGAACATTTATTAGTGCTTGCTGATGTCTTCATGACTCTTAAGTCATCTGCCTTTTATAAAGTGTTTGAATTGTTAAATCTATTATGACTTTCCAAAGTCTTTAGGATTAAGTTCAGAGGTTTTAGGTTTCATTTTACAAATTGTCTAAATAACGTCATTACAGATCATGAATGCAAAATATATTTTAGAGCCCTTTAAAAAGAAAAATCCTTATTTTAGTATATTTTTGTTGTTTAATCTTCAGGTGGCAGCTGGAGCATTCTCTGGCAAGAGATAAAGCTTAGTTCATGGTTCAGTCCCCCACATAAGTAAACTCATGCTTGATGAATCCTGACATTTCGAACTGAGTCTTATTCTGGCTTATAAGTTGCTCAAGTTGCTTCATGTCTGAAGTACTTTGAGCTGCACATGAATAGGTGCCACATTAAAAAGTTTGCTTACTTGATTGAGTGCACTGAAGGCTGCTTTGAGTTCATAGCAGGTTTTCCGTCTTCTTAATGTCTCAGGCACAACACAGCTCATGTTGTTTGACGCTGCTCTATTTGATCATTTTAATGCAGGCGTTTTAAGCCAAGTGTGGACAATTTAATTTAAAAATAATGAATATCAAACTGAACAGCAGTTGTTTTGATGTTTTCTCAGCTCACTGCATTGCTGCTTTTGCAGTATTTTATCTGGTGATTGCTACAGGATGTTTTTCCCCGCTACATTTCTGACGTAACAAATCAGCGTTTGATTTGTGTGCTCCAGGTTTCCGGCCGATCTTCTCTTTACCAGCTCTTCCGGGGAGCTGTGGAGAATGGTTCGCATAGGAGGACAACCGCTGGGTTTCGGTACGATATTTTACTCATTCCTCAAATGTTTCAAAATCAGCCATATGTGTTATCAAGAGGTAACTGTATGCATTTGGCTGTATCCGTCTTCACTTATCTCGACAACCGCAGATCTAGTCCACTTCCGATTTGGCAGGTAAGTAATTAGGAACTTGGTGATTGGTGGAAGTAAAAACTACTATGCTATTACACTTTCACAGCGACTTGTAGTTTGCCTGTCAGGCAGCTGGATAAATATAATATAATATAAATTATACCTATGGGAAAAAAACCCTGCCTTTAATTGTTCCCAAACAGATGTTTTACTGTGCTGACCAAATTAGCATAGCTGATGGTTGTAGCCACTTTTAATTATCGGGTTTTTAAATGCTTAACAGACTTATGATTGATTTGATTTACCATCATCTTTGTCAACAAAAACTTGTTCTGTCAACAGGAGAATGAAATGGGCAGGCAACACTGTGTTTTTTCTGTTTCATACTAAATAAGTCTTGCCAGTTGATGTGGAAACAGGAAACTGTTAAATTAAAATGCTCATTAAATTTACAAACAACTGAACACTCATTATTTTTTTTTATTTCGTTTGATTATGATTGTGCTACTTATTCTCCTTCTCTCGTTATGTTTTATAGATGAATGTGGTATAGTTGCCCAGATATCGCAGCCTCTCGCCGACAGTGACATCTCTGCCTATTACATAAGCACCTTCAGCTTTGACCATGCTCTGGTGAGTCCAGCATTTTGATCACCTTAAATTATGAACAGTCTCAATCTGACATGTCATGGGTTATGCAAATAAATCGTACAGATCACATTTGTGATTAATAGAGAAACACGCCACACAAACTTAGCAAAAGTATGACGTGTTATGACGCGACTAGGGAAATGTAATGTGTATACTGGAGGTTTGACTTATTCTGTTATTAGACGACAGCGTGGAGGTCAAAAGATTAATGTGATTGGGTAACATCCTGAAGAGAAATCGAATCAGCAAATCCGTGGAGATGCAAATCACTTCTTGTCAGAGTTAAGATTAAGCATAAAAACAGGATGCAGATGTTTGCCTTTCGAGTTGAAGTCACAAACTTTGTGTTCAGTCAGTGATATATGCTACTAATAATACGATCATATAGATTCAACTAAGTCCTATATTACACTCTCAAAGCAAGTTTGTTTTTCTTTCCTCCACAGTTTATTTTAAATTCGATGTACATGTAAGGTTACCTGTCCCTTACTCAGTCTGCCGTATTAGCCTCCACACACCTGAACCTTACCAAGATGAAGGTGATGGTAGCTAAATTGACTCCAAATATGATGCTGAAACTCTGTACTTTCCATGTGGTTTGATAGCACATCAAAATTTGTCGTGTCTTCAAAGGTTCATTTTGATATGCACATTATCGTGCCTGTCAAAAATTGGTTGCATTGAAATTGTCTATGTGCCAGCTTGGTAAGCAAGTTATCTGCATTATCTTGAAAATTACTAAGAAAGCTTTATCTGGCTCATTTGTTGCCATTTCCGAGAAACCTGCCTGTGAATCAACAAAACCAAGTTTCCCCTCTACATTTAGGCAAGAAATGCTTTTTCTCATGGTGTCTGTAAAGTGAGTAGAGAGATCTGAGGTAAACCACGTATGATATTGCATTTCTCTACTGCAATATTAGACTTCTTATCTGCAGCTATAATCCAAATAAAAAAGTAGCTGTCTTGTATAAAATGTAAATGAAATGATTTGAAAACCTTAAGAATCTTTATTTGAGAACAGTACAATAATATAATAATCATATTATACACCAATGCAGCGCCCGGGGAGCAGTGTGTAGGGACGGTACCTTGCTCA